CATAATATGAAACAAAGATAATGATTTGAACCTCCCTGCTAAAGGGGCATGTGATGTTTTTGGCATAAATAAAAGAAACAGCAGAGAAAAAACAAAACAATTAAAATGAAAAAAATTGTTAGAGAAAAATTACTTTAAAAATAGCTATAACACTTAGCAATTTCTGTAATAGTTCTGCCTCTGATGCAATGTAAAACATGTATTAGACTTTCGATCTCCACAATAAATTTTAATGAGCACTACAAATTTAGGATATATAAAAAAATCAGTAACTTAAGAATTTATCAACTTAACTCACTTTTTACTTAAGTTAGGCTGAGTTGAATTTCTGCTAAGTTTTTCCATATTCTTGATAAAGGCTAAATTTGAAATAATTTATTTAGATGACTGTTTACTGGCAATTTGATAGTAGTTACATTTTGTGTAACATTTGATATAATAATTAGCCAAAATTAATTAGCTCAATATTATCTTCTGTGGTTTATTGATCCAAAAGTACATATTTGTTATGTAAACTTAAACTACGTAAACTTGTATTAGCTTTTTGCTTCCTTGAATTAATAAAACCCATTAATGCAAATCTAAGTCTTCACAGACTTTTCCAATCCTTAGTTAAATATTAAAAACTTGAGTATTGTAGTTATTTGCTAGATATAAAAGCTGTGACTCAGAGTACAGAATAAGATGTCAGCAAATAGACAATAAAATGTCAACTAAAGTGCCTCAAATTTTAACGGTGTCAAGTTAAGGGCATTGTAAATACTATAGTTTTATGTAGCTTGCAACTTCTACTGAAATGAATTTAATCATGTCTTTCACATGGCGAAAGTTTGTGTCATGATTTAAGCTGATTTTCTCATATCAGAGTCTTACCTAGGGTTAGGGAGAGATAGGCCTACATCACACTTCTGATACTATCATTTTAGGAACAGACAGGCATAAATCTGCTTATGTGGTAGAACATATTATATTAGAGTGTATTTTGTTGAATGCTACAGAATATTAATATACTTATTCTAAAATATCACCTAAAAATATGTCACCTGAAAATCTGATTATACTAAATATAAAAAACAAAGCAGCACACACTTTCTCTACTGTTTTTCTGTTCATTCTTTGTCACCAGGCCTAACCAGTCCCTGACACCCAATACACTACCAATAAGCCGCCATCGTCTTTTCTTGGGTTTTTGCATTCATTGTTTGTGTTACCTAGCATTGCCTAGGATAATCATTTGTCATCATTAAGGAATTAAATATTATCTGTTCCTTATCTTGGAACACTCTATTGGGAGTTGTGCAAGTGAGAAGCCCCAAATTTATAAGTCAATATCCTCATTTCAAAGCCACCAGCCTTGTGACTTTTAATTGGAGCTCCTGTTTGACACCACGGTGTATCTCTATCTCTGGCCATCACTTTTTAGTACACATGACTTTCCTCTCCCGATTTCCAGACGAGACTCTTTGAATATATGTCAAACTCAATAACTCCATAGAAAAACTGCCTTTCTCTTCAAGGTGCTCCCTTGAGGTTCCTAAGCAAATTTTGTACCTTCTATTTTAAGAGAGGCTTTCCCAAAGAGCGCCATTTATCAATTTGTGGCCCATCAGTCTCTACCTGCCATTCTCTGCTCTGCTTTGTGAACTGAAGAGGGACCCTATAAACATTTCTTTTTTGCCAGGTGGTACAACATTAGACATTGTCAAGAAGAAGTGCTGGAGGGCCACTTCAAGTCCACTGCAAGAGGAAGTGGCTGCTTCTGATGGCCAGGTTTGCTGTTTCCTTCAGCAAGGCTGCTGGCAGCTGCGCATGTCAGAGTTCCTGTGGCTCTCACCTCAGTGGCCCTTGACAACCAGCAACAGGCCCACCAAGCCCTCCAAGAAGTTTGGTCACCAGGTGGGTGAGCCACTTCCTGTGAACCCCTCCAGCATATACATTCTGGTAAGTTTCTATGCTGTTGGTAGTCTGTGTGTTCCTATAGCAAGCACACCCTCCCCAACAAGGCATGAATCCACATTGGTTGAAGGTAGGAGGGTTGGTTTCTTCTACAATCTTGGTTCCTTCATTGTTCACTTTTCCTCAGTCCCAGAAGTAGCTGACTTTTGCATTTATTATCTCTGTATTCATTAGAGTTCTCTTTTATCCCTTTTATTATGATTAATATAATACTTCTTTATATTAAATTTTTCCTTTTCACATAACTAGTGTCAAAGGCATCCTGAATTTGGTATAAGTCTATCTTGCTGCTTTCAGATACTGTAGTAAGAGGCAAAACTTTATGTAATTTTAGTAGATTTGCAGTTGCAAAATATTTGAGTTAAATTTATGGCAGGAAAGTTTGAAGTGAGAAAATTATGTCATTGACTTACATTCTTATGTAAATTGGGAGAAGACCACCATTATCCCACTTTAGCAGCATAATATCTTTATCAGCTCTCATGACTATCCTGTCCTGTAAGAGAAAGCTTAGAGAATCCCTAAAACTAATGAACAAAATGTTGCTTAATAGAACAATTGTTGAGTTTATAGAAATATATTTGATTAGAGAATGATGTTTTATCTTCAGACTTTCAGTTATGGGTGACCCGACTTCTCTAAAATCATCTTCCCATACTATTTCTGTTTGTCAATTTAATTTTCCTTGTTTCTACCATTCAAGTTAAAAATATCAGCATCATCTCTAATCTATTCCAGCATTATTAAATATCTACTATTTGCATGGCACTGACTGGGGAATGGAAGAGAATACATCATTTTTGCTCTCAAGGAGCAGAAAAATGTAAATACAGAAAAATTGCTCAATGTAAATAATACTTTTAAAAGTCATGTAAGTTACTAATGTTCAGAAATAATGTGTCAGCAATATTTCTTATAGTTCATTAGTTTGCAAATTTAATGTAAATGTTGAGAACATTATTCTTGTCATAAAGTAAAGCCATATTCTTTTACTTTAATCTCTGGAAAAAACATCACAAATTGTTTATTATTGTTTTAAGACAAAGTGTGTGACAGCCAAATAAAAAGTTGCGGGCATTAATTTCTTTAATTAAATCTAAGCCATAATTCAAACGAACTTTTGAAAACCACAACTTTAGTCTGACTAGTTAGTAGTTAATTAGGTATCCACAACAACCATACTTTAATTCTCAAAAAGTGTTTCTCTTATATCCCATGATAGAAATATGAAGATTACTCCACAATACCCTCTGTGGAAGGAAAACTTAATAAACCTACTAATACCAAAAGGCAAGGTGATAATCCCCCAACAGAAAAACAAGAAGTCATGCTGTTCTATTCTTGAACGCCACTTTTGCTGTCATCATAGTACTGTGATCTAGGGTAAGGCAGTTTTGTTGTTGTTGTTGTTTTGTTTTGTTTTAAATAACAGAATATTCAGATAAATATCCTAAAGCAGTATAAAATTGGAAGGCTAGCGTCTCTAATTGCATTTGTTTCTATATTCTACATAAACCAAAGCCTTCCTTTTTTTTTTTTTTTTTTTGAGACGGAGTTTCGCTCTTGTTACCCAGGCTGGAGTGCAATGGCGCGATCTCGGCTCACTGCAACCTCCGCCTCCTGGGTTCAGGCAATTCTGCTGCCTCAGCCTCCTGAGTAGCTGGGATTACAGGCACGAACCACCATGCCCAGATAATTTTTTGTATTTTTAGTAGAGACGGGGTTTCACCATGTTGACCAGGATGGTCTCGATCTCTTGACCTCGTGATCCACCCGCCTCAGCATCCCAAAGTGCTGGGATTACAGGCTTGAGCCACCGCGCCCGGCCACCAAAGCCTTCCTTTAAGACCCATTCTTTTTTTTTTTTTTTCCCATTTATTTATTTTATTGCATTTTAGGTTTTGGGGTACATGTGAAGAACATGCAAAATTGTTGCATAGGAACACACGTGGCAGTGTGATTCGCTGTCTTCCTCCCCATCACCTATATCTGGCATTTCTCCCCTTGCTATCTCTCCCCAGCTTCCCACCCCCCACTGTCCCTCCCCTATTTCCCCCCAACTGACCCCAGTGTGTAGTGCTCCCCTCCCTGTGTCCATGTGTTCTCATTGTTCAACACCCGCCTATGAGTGAGAACATGCGGTGTTTGATCTTCTGCTCTTCTGTCAGTTTGCTGAGAATGATGGTTTCCAGGTTCATCCATGTCCCTACAAAGGACCCAAACTCATCGTTTTTGATGGCTGCATAATATTCCATGGTGTATATGTGCCACATTTTCCCTATCCAGTCTATCGTCGAAGGGCATTTGGGTTGGTTCCAGGTCTCACTTCATTCACAATTAGCTCTTCCCCTCCTTTAAGACCCATTGTTATCTTCATTCACAATTAGCTCTCCTCTCACAGTGTTCTGGCCTCAGTCCCCTTGTCCAGTACGTTCCTTTCTTGTGTCCTGACCTGGGAAGTCGCCAGCTCTTTCCAAGTGACAGAGAGTCCTCCTGAGTGCTGGCCCCAGAGCCTTTCATGTCTCTTATCAGTTCTCCTGTTGCAGACTCCAGGTGGCAAGGGCTTTACTTTTGGCTGAGAGTCTCCTGGTCTGAAGAAGGGTAAGAGGGGGCCTTGTCTTCCTGAGCTACAGTTGAGTTGGTGGGTGCTTTCACTTTGCTTCAGGCTGTCCACCAACAATGGCTCAAGCTTTCTTCCTGAGTGTGCCAAAACACAGAAATACTTTACGTTTTTTAAAAAATGTTATTTACATGTCTTGAATATTTTTTTAATTAATTAATTAATTAATTTTGGAGACGGAGACTTGTTCTGTCACCCAGGCTGGAATGCAGTGGTGCAATGTTGGCTCACTGCACCTTCTACCTCCTGGGTTCAAGCAATTCTCCTGCCTCAGCCTTTTGAGTAGCTGAGACTACAGGCACATGCCGCCACTCCGGCTAATTTTTTGTGTTTTAGTAGAGACAAGATTTCCCCATGTTGCCCAGGCTGGTCTCTAACTCCTGAGCTCAGGCAATCTGCCTGCTTTGGCCTCCCAAAGTGCTAAGATGACAGGCGTGAGCCACTGTGCCTGGCCTACATTATCTATCTTATCTTTCTTCTGAAAATCAATCTATCCTCAACACGAAGAATTTAGATTTTTCCTATTAAAATGACTCCAGCACTAAGCTTTAGGGGACAGTAATGTTTGCTATTATCTTTGTGCTAAGGGAATAAGCCCCTGGAAGGCCCAGGTGATGTATTATTTATGTATGTATTTATAATGCTAGACTTGAGTCAGAAACAAAACCAATGTTTTAAGCCCAGTTGATTGTCAGGAGAATACAATTTTTTCCCTGATAGTGAAAGATGAATTTCAGTTCATTTTGCCACCAAAATATTGACTTCATGCAACACATACAATGTATTTCCCAAGACCGAAAACTGAGAATCAAAGCTCTTTCTTGTGAAATGCAATTTGCCATCATGTCCAGTTAATCCTACTGCATAGCTATCTCTTGATTCTATTTTTTTTTTCCAAATCCTTTCTTACACTATAGGGCCTACAGAATAAGTTTAAGCTTTGTAGCATTGTGTAAAAAGCACTTTATTTTCTGTCCCTTGCCTACATTATGGCCTCATTTGTGGCTGCCCCTCATTTTTGGTCATGAAAATGCAGCACTCAGGTTTCCTGCTGCAGAGATTACAATTGACTGAGGCCCCAGATACTGTTCGCTTGATCCACTTTTGTGTTCATGTAGATGCCATGATTCCCACAGGCTTTTCTCAGCTGAAGTCTGAATACAACAGGGATTCTAGTGCAGGCCCATTGTTAAGAGACAGGGTTCCTTTAACAGGTGATTCTGGCTGGAAGACCCCTCTAAACTACTCATCCTGGCTAAGATTTCCTTTCCCTCCCTCCCTTCCTTCCTTCCTTCCTTCCCTCCTTCCTTCCTTCCTTTTCTTTCTTTATTTCTTTCTTTTTTCTTTTTCTTTCCTTTTTCTTTCTTTCTTTTTTTTTTCCCCTAAAACTAGAGACAGAGACTTGCTCTGTTACCCAGGCTGGAGCACAGTGGCATAATCTTGGCTCAATGCAATCTTGAATTCCTGGGCTCAAGTGGTCCTCTTGCTTCAGCCTCCCACGTAGCTGGAAATACAGCGATGCACCATCACACCCAGCTAAATTTTATTTTTATTTTTTGTAGAGATGGGATATCGCTATTTTGCCCCGGCTGGTCTTGAACTCTTGGCCTCAAGCAATACTCCTACCTTGGCCTCCCAAAACGTTGGTCTTACAGGCATGAGTCATGGCGTCTGGCTTGCCTAAGATTTTCTTAGAGCTATGCCACATCTGAGACTCATCCTACACATTTCTCCTCTGCTGTCTCGCTCTCTTTCACAGGGGTCAGATAGGCATTATGGTCTGAAGGTCCTCCTGCCTTCTCTAGTTCTTTTTCCTTTACCCATCGTAGGAATTTGTCACCGGTACACTTCTTGCACAACTAATCCCATTTTGGCATTTTCTTCTTGGAGGATTCAAACTAACAAAACTAGTGCCAGAAGTAGTTTGAAGAAACAAGTGATAAGACTGGGTTTGGGAACCTTCAGGCAGAGCAGGTCATCTTGAGGTTTATATGTGGATAGTCTGTGGCACTAGGTGGCAGTCTATTTGCTAAAGGTTTCACTGATGGTAGTAATTTTGGAATGGAAAACAACCCAGTGGAGGGGAACACCACTGCACATGCAATGATTCAGGCATTTGAAAGATATGGGGGAAATGGTACTACAAGAACAGCAGAGATAACTAGTTCCCATCAAATTTGTACTGCTTTGAAGAGGAATAGTGAGAAATTGAGGATGATTAACAATTTCTTTTGTAGTTTACAAAGAGGACCTTATCTTCTGCAATGATGGAGCAGACAGCTCAGCAGAGCTCAGTCTGATATAGGCATACCTCAGACTTATTGCAAGTTAGGTTCCAGGCTGCAGCAATAAAGTGGAGTCATAAGTTTTTTGGTTTCCCAGGGCATATGAAAGCTATGTTTATGCTATACTGTAGTCTATTAAGTGTGACATTGCATTATGTCTTTACAAGTTTATATCTTAATTTATAAACACTTTATTGATGAAAAATGTTAACAATCATCTGAGCCATCAGTGAGTCATAATCTTGCTGCAGGTAGAGGGAACAGTAGTGCGTGCTAACACTTTTGTGCTAAGGGAAAAAGCCCCTAGAAAACCCAGATGATGTTGAGCCTTCTCAGCATCTTGCCTTGATGTTGATAGCTCCTGACAGATCAATGTGGTGGTTGCTGAAGGCTGGGGTGACAGTCTCTTAAAATAAGACAATAATAAGGTTTGCATCATAGATTGACTCTTTCTTTCACAAAAGATTTCTGTGTAGCATGTGATGCTATTTGATAGCATTTTACCAACAGTAGAACTTTCAAAACTGGAGTCAGTCCTCTCAAACCTTGCCATTACTTTATCAGCTAAGTTTATGGAATATTCTAAATCATTTGTTGTCTTTTCAGCAATGTTCCTAGCATCTTCAAGGATCAGATTTCATCTCAAGAAACCACTTTTTTTTTTTGCTCATCCATAAGAAGCAACTTATCATATATTCAAGTTTTATCATAAAATTGCAGCAATTCAGCTTGAGCCCAGGAGTTCAAGACCAGCCTGGGCAATATGGCGAGATCTCATCTCTACAAAAACAAATGAACAAATAAAATATCAAAAAATGAGGTAGGGGTATTGCTTGAGCCCAGGAGGTCGAGGCTGCAGTGAGCTGTGGTTGTGCCACTTCACTCCTACCTGGGTGACAGAGTGAATACCCTGCCTCAAAAAAAAAAAAAAAAAAGAAAGAAAGAAAGAAAGAAAAGAAATTGCAGCAATTCAGTCACACCTTCAGGCTCCACTTCTAATTATAGTTCTCTTGCTATTTCCAATGCATTTGCAGTTACTTTCAAAACTAAAATCTTGAACCCCTTAAAGTCATTCATGAGGGTAGCAATCAACTTCTTCCAGACACTGTTAATGCTGATTTCCCTCCCATGAATCACAAATGTCTTAGTGGAATCTAAAATGGTGATTATTATTTTTTTTATTTTTTGAGAGAGAGTCTCATTCTGTAGTCCAGGCTGGAGTACAGTGGTGTGATCTCAGTTCACTGCAGCCTCCACTCCTGAATTCATGCAATTCTTCTGCCTCAGCCTCCAGAGTAGCTAGGATTATAGGTATGTACCACCATGCCCAGCTAATTAAAAAAAACTTTTTTTTTGAGATGGTGTCTCACACTGTTGCCCAGGCTGGAGTGCAGTGGTGTGATCTTGGCTCACTACAACCTCCACCTTCTGGGTTTAAGTGATTCTCCTGCCTCAGCCTCCTGAGTAGCTGGGATTACAGGCACATGCCACCACATCTGGCTAATTTTTGTATTTTTAGTAGAGACAGGGTTTCACCATGTTGGCCAGGCTGGTCTTGAACTTCTGACCTCAGGTGATCCACCTGCCTGGGTCTTCCAAAGTGCTGGGATTACAGGCATGAGCCACTGCACCTGGCTTAAAATGGTCACTTTTATTGAGAAGATTTTCAATTTACTTTGCTCAGATCCATCAGAGAATCTCTATTTATGGCAGCTATGGCCTTACAAATAGTATTTTTTATATAATAAGACTTGAAAGTCAAAATTATTCCTCGATTCATGACTACAGAATGAATATTGTGTTAGCAAACTTGAAAACAACATTAATCTCCTTATAAATCTCCATCAAGACTCTTGGGTGAGTAGGTGCATTGTCAATGAGCAGTAACATTTTCAAAGTTACCTACTGCTGAGCAGTAGGTCTCAGCAGAAAACTTAAAATATTCAGTAAACCATGCTGTAAACAGTTGTGCTGTCGTTTAGGTTTTGATGTTCCACTGTAGAGTGGAGCACAGACAGAGTAAATTTAGCATAGTTCTTAAGGGCCCCAGGATTTTCAGAATAGTAAATGAGCATTGGTTTCCACTTAAAGTCACCAACTGCATTAGCCCCTAACAAGAGAGTCAGCCTGTCCTTGGAAGCTTTGAAGCCAGGCATGGACTTCTCCTCGCTAGCTATGAAAGTTCTAGAAGCCATCTTCTTCCAATAGCTGGCTGTCTTGTGTACACTGTTATTTAATGTAGCCCTCTTTATTAATAATCTATGCTAGGTCTTCTGGATAACTTGCTGTAGCTTCTACATCAGCACTTTCTGCTTAACCTTGCATTTTATATTGTGGAGGTGGCTTATTTCCTTCAACCTCACAAAACAACCTCTGCTAGCTTCCAACTTTCCTGCTGTAGCTTCCTCATCTCTCTCAGCCTTCATAAATTGAAGAGAGTTAGGGACTTAGGATTAGGCTTTGGCTTAAAGGAATGTTGTGGCTGATTTGCTCTATCTGGACCACTAAAATTATTTGCATTATCACCAATAAGGCTGTTTCTCTTTCCTAACATCCATGTGCTCACTGGAGTGGCACTTTTGGTTTCCTTTAAGAACTTTTCCTTTTCATTCGCAATGTGGCTAACTGGTGCAAGGGGCCTAGGTTTTGTTCTGTTTTGGCTTTTGACATGCCTTCCTCCTTGGGCTTAATCATTTCTAGCTTTTGATTTAAAATAAGAGATGTGGCTGGACATGATGGCTCATACCTGTAATCCCAGCACTTTGGGAGACCAATGCAGGAAGATTGCTTGAGAACGGCAGTTTGAGATCAGCCTGGGAAACATAGTGAGACCCTCACCTCTACAAAAATTGAAAAACTTAGCTAAGACATGACGGTGACCCCCTACATTTCTAGCTGCTCAGGAAGCTGAAGCAGAAAGCTTGCTTGAGCTGAGTTAAGAGTTACAGTAAGCCATGATAGCACTACTGCACATCAGCCTAGGCAACAGAGAGAGACCCTGTCCTTAAAAAAATAAAGTGTGAGACTCTGCCTTTCATTTAACCACTTAGTGGTCATTGTAGGGTTATAAATTTGACTAATTTTAATACTATTATATTTCAGGGAATAGGGAGGCCCCAGGAGAGGGAGAAAGATGGGGAACTGGCAGGTTGGTGGAGCAGTCAAAACACACATAACATTTATTGATGAAGGTCACCATCTTATATGGGCACAGTTTGTGGCACCTCAAAACAATTATAATAGTGAGATTAAAGATCACTGATCACCACTGATCACATATCACTATAAGAGACATAGTAATAATGAGAAAGATTGAAATATGAGAATTACCCAAATGTGACACATAGACACGAAGCAAGCACACACTGTTGAAAAATGGCGCATGATACACTTGCTTGATGCAGGGTTGCCACAAAACTTTAATTTATAAAAAATACAATATCCAGAAAGCCCAATAAAGTGAAGTGCAAGGAAATGAGGTATGTCTGTGCTTTGAGTCACTTAGCTCCAGAAACATTTAAATGCTCAGTCAAGGTAGAAATGTTATATAAAGTTCAGGGCCTTGATTGGGAAAACTGGGACCCTAAAAAATGGGACAAAGACATCTAAAAGGATGTCCTCAGCCATGTTGGTTCTGTAGACTTTCCTGAACCCTCAAATCTCTTATAAGTGCTCTGCCACCCATATTAAGAACTCACTTTTCTTCTCTGCTGGAAAACCTGGCAGAGTTACCTCACCCACAAGGAACAGATGCTTCTCAGGAGCTGCCCCCACTTCCTCTCATGGTTGCCAGGCTGGCAGTTGAGTGTTAGGTTCCAGAATTACCTGCTTAGATACATTTTGGCTTGAAAACGGAAGAAATAAATTATGAACCAAAGAGGCTGCAAAACTTAACAGGCTTTGTTAGCAGAAACCAGGGGAGTCACCCTGTATTGGATTTTTAAGGTGTTAACAAGGAGATCAAAATATAAACCTGTATAAGGGAAGAATTCATTAATTTTAGAGAACTGCCTTAAGACATGGAATTTAATACATTGGCAAGATTATCAGAAGATGGGGAAAGTTCTTTTCTAGGCTGACTTTTAGAAGCCTGGAGAAAGCAACAGTGAAGGCTAAACGAAGTGGAAATGCCCAAGTTGCATTGTCAGATGGTAGAGGAAGAGATAAAAAGGCCCATGGATGTGGGCATGCGGGAGTGGATACACGGTGTGAGGCTAAAATACATACAAAGGTTTATGCTCCATGAGGCAGCCAAGAGGACATGACATCCATCAAGGCCATCAGGAATGCACTGGTGAGAGAGGCTCTGGCATTATCGTAAGGTCAGTGGTGGCTTACCTCAGCAGGCCAGGGCTGACAGCAGAGTGGTGGTCACAGAACTGGACCCATATATCCATAGAGACAGAACCCCTTCTTGCTACCCCCACCCTCTCCTAACTGGTATTTCTTCACAGCGACAGATTTTTATTCTTTATATGTATTCGCCTTTTCTTCCTGCAGAGCTTCACTAATGCCATTTTCAAGTGCTTGTAGAATGCTTTAGCCACAAGTATGGAAACTCATATAATGTAATGTTGAATCAGGAGCTCTATTTAACAGTGAAGAAGGTGCTGAAGTGGTTCATGACCATAGGATCCACTGGTCATATGATATACCATGCCATTTAGAAGTAGCCTCATAGAGTGCTGGCATGGCCTTCAAGACACAGATGAATTGCCAGCTCAGAGGAAACACTCTGGAAGGATGGGATGTCATCTTCTAGGTAGCAGTATACATAGAGTCAGAGACTTCTTTATTATGCTGTGTCTCCAGTAGGAAGAATACATGGATCCAGAAACCAAAGGTGATTTTGGGATCCCCATCCTCATCACTGGGTTCTGCAGCATTGGAGGTTTGGTCTCCAAAAGGGATACCCTTAGCCCAAGTGGCATAGCAAGGGTCTTAATGAGCTACAATATATGGCTACTTCCAGGACACTTTGAATTCTTGTGTCCCAAGACCAGCAGTCAAGTAAAAGAGTCATTATCATGACAGAAGTAATTGACCTTGATCAGCAGGTGGAGGTAGGGCTGCTTTTACACAATTGATTCCAGGAGGAAGATATGTGGAGCTCAGGTGCAGATCTGGCACCTGTGAAGGAGGGTGAAGTAAGTAGAGTCTCCGACTGCAGATCTATGAAAGACTTAGCCATTCCCACAGGGAGTCCACAAGTCACAGCCACCTGTTAAGGGAGCCTTGCAACTCATAAGGATGGGCCTGCATTTGTATCTCCAGCATGCTCAGTCACTAGTGATCTTCTTGGACAACTTCAGATATTGTGTTGCTCCATTATAACTCTGAAAGGACATTCTTTTTGAAGAAGCCTGAAAAGAATGATTGCCAGTGGTTCACACCTGTCAGAAATGAGGGATTGGATAAATCACCATGACCTGCTCAGGTGACAGCTGAGGGAGAGATAAATTAAAAATGGATAACAGAGAAAGGAGAGGATGAGGAATAGCTGCGGCACTGAGACTAACTGCGGTGACAATTCTTTCCACCAGCCGCTTTCTTCAAAGCTTTCTGTCAGAAAAAGAGGCTCAATGCTCAGTAGGGAAGTATATCTGTATGTCGCAAGGCATGTACTTTGGTGGCCATAAAAATGCACCAGTCAGGTCTGCTGCATGGAGCAAAATCCACTAAGAACTCTAGATGCTGCACTTGTGGACCTGGTTCTGTGTTCACAATGAGGCCACCATCCCCATAGGCTGCTGCCAGCTAATGACTGAGCATGGTGGAGATAAGAATGCTGGTCCATCCTTATGAGATGCAAGACCCCCTTAACAGGTGACTTTGACTTGTGGACTCCCTGTGGGAATGGCTGAGTCTTTCTTAGAGCTGCAGTCTGAGACTACTTACTTCCCCCTCTCCTTCACAGGTGTCAGATCTGCATCATGGTCTGAAAGCTTTTCCCACTTTCTCTGGCTTTCTCTCCTTTATCCACCATCACAGCTCCCCACCCCGCAATACACCGCCTGCATGTCTATTCTTATCTTGCTGTCTGCTTTTCTAGGGACCCAAATAAATGCATTCCCATGTGTAGCTACCCTTCTACATTTCTATGCTCTAGTCATACAAAAATTACTTAGATTTTCCTGAATGTGCCATGTTCTCTCTCTTCTTGGATCTTTGAATAAGTAATTTTCTCTGCTAAAATACCCTGCTATTTCATATCCAACTGGCAAATTCGTCATTATTTTTCAATATATAACTTTAGTTCTTTAACTACTTGTAAGTATTTGTACAATTTCATTACAAGCACAGACTTTATCTTGTAATACTTGGAGTCTGTCAGACTCTGGCACCATGGTACACACACAGTAAGTACTTTACAAAGTCTTTTTTATTGATTCTATTGAACTGTATAAGTAAATATATCTTAATTTTTAGTAAAATTATTAACTGCATTTATTTTATTAGAAGACTATTTTCTAAGAGAAAAGTGACATTTTCTTGTATGCTTGAACCCAATAGAGAATATTCAATTTTCCAAAGTAATAGTCACATTTATATTTTGTTTACAGAGTAAGAATGCAGTTAAATATTCCCTTTACAACATTATTTTCAATGACAGGCATGGAATCCCACAATTAGGCTATCTTCTAAATTATTTAAGTTGGACACGTGAGTTGTTTCTAATGTTTTGCTAACACAATGTTACAATAAACATCCTTTAAAAAGTGTTTACTTACATTTTATTGATTGATTGATTGACTGAGATGGTGTCTTGCTCTGTTGCTTAGGCTGGTGCAGTGGCGTGATCTTGGTTCACTGCAAACTCCACCTCCCGAGTTCAAGCAATTCTCCTGCCTCAGCCTCCTGAGGAGCTGGAATTACAGGCATGGGCCACCACACCCAGCTAATATTTTTTTTATTTTTAATAGTGACAGAGTTTCACTATATTGGCCAGGCTGGTCTTGAACTTCTGAACTTGTGATCTGCCTGTCTCGGCCTCCCCAAGTGCTGGGATTACAGGCATGAGCCACCGGGCCCGGCTGCTACTTACATTTATTATTATTGCTATAGGTTTCTTGGGCTTTCAGGCTACCACACTCTCTTGATTTTCCTATTACCGTTCCAACTGTTTTGTCTAGTTTTATTCTGCTGGCTCCTCTTCGCCTGCTTGACACCATTCACATTTTTGAGTTCTCATACATAACTGTGCTTTATGTTCATTCTATATATTCTCCATATAAGGATCCTCACCTACCCTGATCCCTTGCCAGTCATGCCCTCAATGACCATCTTTTCACTAAATCGATTTTTTGACCAAACATCTTCCTGAGTGACAGATGCTCTTATCTCACTATAGATACTGTGTTATTTAGGTTCTTTGATTGCAAGCAACAGAAACTAAATATGGCTCATTTAATCAAGAGGCAGGTTATTGGCAGGATGTTAGAATTCACATAACTTGGAACTAGGCAAGAACTAAGAGGATAAATGACTGCAATTACTTTGTAGCAAGAACTCTGCTACAAAAGCCCAGATGTTAGGAAGAAGAAATTGATGTTAGGTAGCCAGAAACCAAACCAAACGAAACGAAAACCAAAATAATAAATTAACAGATGTTCATTAACCTTTTCTTAGAGCACTTAAAATTCCATATTCCTAAAAGGGAAATCATAGTCTCCCCCAGTAAACCCTCTTCTCTTCTATGGTCTTATATTTCACTAAACTGTATCCCTACTTATTCAGAAACTTAAGCCAGAAGCCTGGAAGTTCTTCTTGATGTCTTCCTTTTTATTACCTCCCATTTCTTGATCAATCATTAATACTATCATTCACACCACCTAAATAACTCCCCAATCCATCTTTGTCTCTCATCTCCACTGCCACTACCCTAAGTAGG